TATCACTCAGACCGGAACTATCACACCTACCTTCAAAGTTGATGTTGCCAGCTGACATAAATATATAAGGGCGAAAAGCAATGGCAGACGAATTACGTTGAAGTTGGACATGGCGTCAAACATCACTATAATCTCAAGGAGCATGTGGCACAAACTGGGCCAACGAAGCTTCCCAGATCACTCATTTGGCATGAAATGCCTCCGGAGATATTTTGGAATGGTTTGGCAAATTGGACTGTCAGGTCACTTATGGTAACCCATCAGTTCACACAAGGTGCTTCATGAAGGATCACCCTAGATTGGGTTTACTGGGGATCGATCGGATGGGGAAATTAAGTCTACTGGACGAGTCGATCAATCACATATGCAGCAAAGTGCATGTCAAGCGACTTAGTCATCTCCATCAACTACAAAGCTTCCTGATGAAATTCCAGATTGAAGACGCAATGAAGAATTGTTCAAACCAGGTGCAATATAGCCCATGCAGAATTGAATCTCAAGGCCAGTTTCCACGCCCAGACGTCCAGTTCCATACGCAACTCAGTCGGTATCAGAAGCTGAGCTCAATTGGTTACAATCCGAAGGCATAAATGGTCGTGTAAACGATTCAAAATAGGATGCACCCACGGTGGTTGTGAAGAAGATAAACGACAAGGTAGGTATTTGTGCTGATTTTTCAACAGGTCTAGAATCCATACTATAAAACCATGGGTATCCATTACCAGTGCCTGGAGATTTGTTTACAAATTTGAATGGTTGAAAGTGCTCCGCCAATCTAGATCTCGTGAATGCATATCTGCAATTTCCAGTGACTGAAAATTCCAGAGGATACCTGACAATCAATACACACCTAGGACTTTTCAAGCATAACCAGCTGCAGTTCGGAGTAGAAACTGCACCAGCCGCTTTCCAACAAATCATGGACACGCTTCTCCACGAAATTCCTGGTATCGCAGTATATTTGGATGATGCCTTAATTATGGGCTTAGACCCATCTTATTCGTTATGTATATTGGAGAACTTTTTCTTACGTCTGAAAGAAGCTGGATTTCATTTGAGGGTAGAGAAGTGCAATTTTTCAATAGAAAGTGTTGAGTTTCTTGGTTTCATCTCTAAAAACTTGACCGAAGTCCTGATCCTGACAATATTGAAGATATCAGACAGATGGTGCCTCCAAAAGTTGTTGTACAACTTCGCTTATTTCTTGGCCTCATCGGTCACCATTGGGTTTTTCTGCCAAGCCTTGATCGAACAAGAGGTCCGCTGAACCAGGTTGTTAATGAAAGAAAAAGAGTGGCAATGGACAAAAGGATGACAACAGTCATTTGGTGCAATAAAGACAGCCCTTACCTCTGATCTCTGATCTACCAAGACTAGAAATTATTGTGACACCGGACGTCTCCAATTATGGCATTAAAGATGCGATTTCCCATATTTTACTCAGAGGACAACAGAAAGCTATCGCCGACGCACCGGGGTCATTGTCAGCAGCTGAGAAAAATTATAGCCAGGTTGAAAAGGAGGTTCTGGCAATCGTTTCTGCTGTGAAACGTTTTCGGAAAATACTCAACGGAAGACACTTCGCGCTGCTTACTGATCACAAACCACCGCCATCATTGTTCTGGACAAAGAAGAGGATTACTGTTTTAACTGCTAATCGCCGCAAAGAAAGCTACCATACTGTTATCCTATGATTTCACTGTTCATTACCAGTCAGCGCAACAAATCGGCAAAGCAGATGCTTTGTCTTACCTCGACAAATCATATCCAAAGAAAATTGATAACTGTAATTCCAACCGTTAAGTTCGAGTCCGAAGTTCATCAGATCCCAAATGAATGCGTCAGAAGATCACCAGTCACTACGGAGACAATTCGTATAACTACCAGAAATGAGGAAATCTTATTGGAAGTAATGGATTATATACAGACAAAGTGGCCAAATGGTGAAATCTCCCCAAAGCCACGACCATTTCCCAATCGACGTGAATTGCTTTCAATTGTTGGTACCTGTTTAATGACCGGAGACCGAGTTGCAGTACCAACGGAGTTAAGAAAACAGGTAATGCAACAGTTTCACTGACGATATCCATGTACAGCTCGAATGAAAGCCCCAGCGAGAACCTTTGTTTATTGAACTCAGACGAACGCAGAAATAGAACAGTGTTGTCAGGAATGTGAACTTTGTCTAATGGCGGCAAAGGCATCTCCCAAATGTCCGGAACAACCATGGCCGAAAAGCGAGAAACCATGAAGAAGAATTCATTCAGATTATGTAGGCCCAACCAATGGTCAGTCTTAACTCATTTTGGTGGATGCATTCACTAAATGGCCAGATGTGTTTTTTTGGCGCATTACTACCGGACAATCTGCCATCAGTGAACTGGATAGATTATTCCAATATTTCGATGATTCGGAGCCGATTGTGACCAATAATGGGACATAATTTACCTCAACTCGTTTCAGACAGTTCTGCAGAAAATGTTATTGAGCAGAACTTTTCACCAGTGGGCAGCTTGAGCGATTCATGGACACCTTTAAACGTGCTCTGCCTAAAATGGGTGGAAGAAGGATGTCGGGCAATACTATTCAACCTTTTCTGACAATGTACCGAAATTTCCCACACCCATTCCATCCATTTTCCAGTAGGAAATCGCCCACAAAATGCATGTTTGGACAGAAATTTGGAACGAATTAGGATAATCTTTTACCCACGAGTAAGGACACAAGAAGTGCAGCAGATGATACAAACAAACAGATTGCGAAAATTTCATACCGGTGACACGGTTTACTCAACAAACTTTCCAGGTCCAGAAAAAGTGTCCAGTGACACTGTCCTGGGTGAGAAAGGAAATGTGATCTACGAGATCAACGTTGGTAATGAAAATTGGACAACGACTATCAGCCAACTACGACCAGACCACATGCAAACTCAATACCGACAAGAAGCAGAAAATTCCGGTGGGACATCTTGTTGGACACGTTCGGTTTCAACGATGAAAATGTTCAATCCCTTAAATCATCCTAGAACATGAGAGCATCACATAGTTGACAGATAAGACCAAATCGAAAACGGAAACGATCAAGATGGCTCTAAGTTAACCCAAATAGGGAGAAAGTACGATCAGATTCAAGCGGTCCGAAAACATTTTCAGAGTGGAAAGGATGGTAATATGACCGCACGTCAGCCTGCTGCGCAGCGGAGCATTCGTGTAACGAAACCGTGCCGTACGAGTACGCCCACGTGTTCGAATCATATCTGATTACGTCATGTCCCGGAGCAAGGTCAAAAAAGTACACATGCATTTCATGCCCACCTGATAACCAAGGCAACATGTGCATTCAGCACTTAAGCGCACAGACGGCCATCCATGGCTAACTGTGTCAACCGCTCGAGAACCGGCGTGGGCGCGCAGGAGGTACACTGGTTGGTTTAGAACAGATCGATCACCAACTAGGGCCACAAGTGGATGTATTTGCATTAATACACCATTACATACATACATACATACATACATACATACAAACATACATACATACATACATACATACAAACATACATACATACATACATACATACAAACATACATACATACATACATACATACAAACATACATACATACATACATACATACAAACATACATACATACATACATACATACAAACATACATACATACATACATACATACAAACATACATACATACATACATACACATACATACTTACATACATACATACATACATACATACTTACATACATACATACATACATACATACATTAATTAATTAATTAATTAATACATTATTTCTGGAGGCCTTCTTGTCTTCTGACTGTCACCTGGTGGCATAACAACACTTGTTATGGTATAGAGGATAGTACGTTCACCATAATTTTTTTTCCTTTAAGAATTTAACTAATGCGCTGATCACAAAAATGATGGCGGCCTTAAACGGACTGCAAATGAGGAAGCTGCGTCGAAGTTTGGCAGAGATTTAACGCACATGCTGGCGGATAATAGGTTTTCAAGTACACCTGTTTCCCGTTAGGCCAAATGCAAACGTAGATCCCAGCAGATGTGAAAACAAGAACGGAGACGAAATCGGTATGATGAGAACAAGTCATCAATGTACATTTCGTCCATTTTCCCCAAAAAAATACGAAGTCTAGTAAATACAGTGGCCCAAAAGCGACCTAAAGCATCGAGAATAACACACAGAACTGCCTGGAAAAAAACACGAAATGAATGGCGGATTAAACGAATTGTACAACTTTGATCTTGAGCGGTCCAACCTTCGCACCAATATTTTTTTTTACCAAATTGCGATATGACCGGTCTAGCACTTTGATGAGTCTTTGACAAGATATGAAACTCAGTTCTCCCCTGCCTCAAATGGCGGTTTGTATTTTACTTATTGGAGTCTGGGAGGCAGATATTGGACAAGGAATTTTATGCAACAAGCGACTAACATGAGCTGAGTAAAGCTAAACTTGGTGACTTTTCGCTTGATCCTCTGAAACTTATCCTTGGTCTGCCTTCAGATTTCGAATCATAACTATGCTTTCTTCTGTGAAACTCCACGGTGTTGTTCAGACGGTTCAGCTTTCTTCAATATTACTCAGGGACATCTGTACATCTCTGTGTTCTTTGATCAAGAGATTTAGACTCATCTTGAAGTAAAAACAATTAGGGCACTGTCGCCAATCCTACTAAAAGTAGCAGTTTCAACCGTAGAGTTTTAAGCACTACACAGTCAACCACACAATACCAAAGTTTGGAATGTTAGATTTAATTTCGAGAGCACCAAGCAGGGTTCCGACCAGTTAGTGGGCGTATTAAGCGCTACTGTGCCTCTACAACCTCTGGTCATGTTCGACTTTACAGTGAACCGTCTGGAAGTTCCCTAATAAATACTGCGGGTGTTAAGACAAGACTGAGCTGGTCACGCTACCAAGCCTGACGATCTTTAGCCTTTTTCACCAACTTGCCTCCAGCCTAAATGCAGTCAGGAATCGTGCCTCGCTACACACTAGCTTCTGGTCGAATTCGCGAGTTTTTATCGGCATTCAGTGTAGATGCAATCTTCGGAATTGACATCATCAGTAGACACTTGGCATGCCATGAAGACCCTATCGCCATGGGCGACCAAACTGTCTACGTGTACAAGGACTGTTTTGAGGAGTGCGATGCTAGTTACATGACTGAGAAGAGCAGGTAAACAAAAGTGCGTAGAACACACAAGACATACATGCTCAATCCAAAGTTCATTGCAATCCCAAAAACGCGGAATGGCTTATCCATTACTCTGCACGCCCTAATAGAAAACGACAATGTTCTATTTGACGAGGCGCTCAAATGGCAATTCACACAAGGCCTACTTGCGTCAGTCGATGTGCACTGTGTGGCTAGGACATTTAAACACTAAGCCGATTTCATTGTCAACCAACATTGATGTGACCAACTGACCAATGAATGCTAGCTGTATGTCAGTAGTCAGTAGTGTGTGTGATTCCGACTAACTCGCTTCTGACGAAAGCCACCCATGGGGGCTGAAACACTGAGTTGTGAAGAATCATATCCCCGGCTTTGCGCTTTAGCGTTCGACCGTCAGTGGTTTACACAATCTACTCTAATTAGAACGGTTTGAGTGTTCTCTCGTTTTGGCATACATCGTACAATTTTGGGTTGCGATTTTCTCATAAGTGGTCATTCGCCCTATTCGGAGCTTCGTAATGAGGAGAATGAGAGTGTTATTAAGGCCACTTATCTTGGCGGCCACATAAGCCGTCACTGTATTGAGTCAGATGGAGCCAGGGTACACAATAACAAAGGTCGAAGCATAATTTTTGACTTATGTCACTCGAGTGAGCATGGAAAAATATCTACAGAAAATAGCTGTAAGAGAATCCTTAATTTACGTCTGTGAAATCAGCCCACGTAAGTCTAAAATTCTTTCGTGACCCCGGAACCTTGATCACTAGTGCATTTATGTCAGATAAACCCAACTGATGAAGCATACGAGTAGCGTTTGGTCTGGTGTCCAAACACCACACACCCACCCATCTAATGGAAGGTATAGGTTATTACAGAATGTATGGAACCTTTATACAGTGTTCGTTTGTTACTGTTTAACCTTGACGTAAAGTTCAGGACGGTTTCTGAGTATGCCTGACAATGCCCATTTTTAAAAACTCTGCATATGTGATGTGTACTTTGGCGTCTAATTGCTTGAAATCGCTCAGTTCGAGTTTGTTAGTAAAAACTTTGCAGTGAAGGGCGCTAATTGAGTGAAGACGGAGAGTCATTCATTCAAAACTGCCTAATGAGCAGTTTCGCTTTTCAATACTTTAACCCAGAGGGGCGCAAGCGAGTGCTTGGCAAGGGAGTGAAATCTTCAGGGCAGCATATTAAACATGCCAAGGTAGGGTGTCTCGGACCTCTACGAAGTCTACCTAGTAAATGCCTAACACAGAAAGCTAATGTACATCCCGAACTCCACAAGCAAAAGATTCGAATACGCCAGGACATCACAAGGCTACTATGTGTTGAGGGGTCTCCGCGCCATTGTGGCCGCAGTTTATGCGATTCATGTTTTACTTGTTTAGAAGCCCACAGGGTGTGACATCCCAGTGGCGTTCATGTCATCGCTTTCTGGTTGGAGTGCCAAGCGAGAGTTTGTTTTTTGTTTCGTGTCGAACTCTTGCTGGATGAGTTTTGGAAAGGATAGGGGTTCAGTAGCATATCTTACTGTGACATGATTCCTAGATGTGTTTATCTTGTTGTTGTGCTAGAATGTAGGCACCTTATTCTGGAACACCTTTTCGAAGTCTCCATACTGTTGTATGTTTTTCCAATGGCTGTGTGGTAGTTAAGCAACAGTATTTATTACTGGTGTATTTGCTGCCGAGAGCGGTCAACGTGCTATTTGGGTACCAGATGAATAATGCTAAATAGAACGCCTAACAGGATTTCGCCCAATGCGACGATAGCGCAATTTCAACACTTATGAAAACGAGTTCATGACTTTCACTGGAAAATATTGACTAGCAAATTCAACCGGCATCCCAACAGCTCCGATACCATCAGTCATTGTCTTGGATTATATTACACATCTTCAGATTCTGCACGTGATTCTTTAAACATTTTCCCCTGTATTTTCTGATGTATGTGATAGTTTACGATATTTCTTGGAAATGATCTTGTCAACCTTAAGATTACATCCAAGAATGTTTCGAGCCGTTTATGAGCAAGGCTATCTGGATTTGCGGAGATGTGAGAAACTGAAGGAAGCATCGCTGGTAGAATTTGAAAGGAACCCTTTCAGGCTCAGTCATTATAGCGCATTATTGCGTATACAGGATTTCAGTGTTGCACAGAGTGTTTACTTGGTGACTGTACACAGTTTAATAAGATGTGGTGGAGTTAAATGGGCTTACGCAAGCATAATGAGTTTTGGTTTACTCAGCACGCGTGTTAAAACTGTTACAAAGAACCAGAATATCACACTGTGAAATATTTTGCACTTGACGTGCCAGTCCATAGCTGCATGAATGAGATTGAGTTTGGTGTTGTTTCATGCGGAATATCTAGCGAACCGACGTGATTCCTCAGGTGCTTGAGAAGCCCAATAATTGAATTTCAATGTACCACCCAAATATTTTCACCTAGACGTGATTTAGGAATACGTTTGTAATAAACTGAGTAAATAAAACGCATCATTTCCGTAGCTGACTATTTGAGAGGTGGCAACTACTGAAGGTTTTCAACCCAATCCTGGAATCGATACACAATCAGCCGGATTGTTTAGAAGTCACTGGGCGTGGTTAAAACAGATGTTATCACAAGTCTGGGTGAAACTAGCAATAGACCATAACTGAGTAAGAATGGCGGTCGGAAAATAAAAATTCGCGCAACTCGAATCAAATGTTGCCGCCTGCTTCCTCTAAAATAGCACTGCATCAATGTGTGATAAAATTTCTGAGCAAAAAGAGTTGATGAGGCAGCTATTTCGGTCAACAGCATTCATAGATTTAAGCTGGAATTTGTTTATGTCGCTATTATGGCTTGGTCATAAAATTATTGAATTCGTTTTTCAGATCTTCTGAGAATCGATCGAAACGTCTTCAGTGCCCAAAAATATCCCCCACTCGAGCACATATTTTGGCAATCACTCTTAATACATTGTTCCAACCAACAGCGCATCTCAGTTAAGAAATTTGAAGAGTGGTGTTTTGTTTGTATGGACAGTCCCGTCAAATCCGGTTTGCGATAATGTTGATTGAAGTGTGGTTTATTCTCGCAAGAGCCAGGTGATGTACTGTGCTTACTATTCAAGCCAGAAGGATGTGAGAAGAATTAATTTTAGGAGTAGTATCTTAATGAAACTACCCACAATCTTCTTGGAAACAAGTGTCAGTAGTTAAGTAACCGGGTCAAATACCGCAAACTCAGTCTTCGTATAGTGAAATTGGTAAATGATGCGCGAAATTAAAATCGATTCCTATATACTGACAGTGGTTTGCAGAATTTAGGGTTATTGTGATGTGAATTGAAAACTCCTGTTTCTGGTAAAAATGAACATAGCTTAGGCTAGTGTTGTTACCACCTATAAGAGTTTAAAAGCGGATATGATAAGCAACTTGCCACAGGCTCTCACTTAACAAACCGACAGGAATAGCAGGCGATTTTTCACATGCAAACCAACAATCTATAGATCCTTTGGATATTTTGCAGCACCACTTCATGCATACTTGTCACGAGTTTATGTGGGGATAATTGACCCTAAAATTATGTGTACAAACTTGCTATCCTGTATTGTTTGGGATTTGTTAATACTCGTCCTAAACGTAACAACATAACTCTCTCTTTTAACTACCGATCATGATCATAGAACTCCAGGTCAATGGTTATTTCGCGTTTTCTACAGGTTTTCAAACAAATGCTCGAAGATCCCAAGGGTGGTAGACGCTGAACGCTAAAAATTAGCCGTGTTTAGAGTACTGAATCCTGTTCGGTGCACACAAAACCGACCGACTGAGTTAACTCAATTGAACAAGGCGTTAGCTGGCCAAAATAGAGTGCACCAGACCATTATCCACTTTCTTAGCTGTCTGATAACTTATTCTGTACTTCTCTGACTTTTTATGCGGTTGCATAAGCCTGATGAGACTTGCTGAAAATAAATATGTTCGCCGAACTCCGTATCAGTAACTAGGTAATAATCTTCTCATCTCATTTAGTTGGGATCGTGATTTCAATCACTCTTTGAGAGAGACAAGTCTGTTCTGCCAACTGGTTAAAGCAGTTGCAAGTTGACTGACCGAAAACCTTAGCTGCCGAAATATCCGCTTCTCAAAATTGACTGGTTTAAACCGCAAGACTAAGATATGTCAAGTTGTTGTTGGTTTCACGGCCGGAAAAATATGGTATAAAATGTAAAACTTCCTTGAGATGTTGCTCCGTTTTTGGAGCTAACAAACGGACTTGTGCAATGTATTTTTTATTAAAAATTTTTGCGGAGAAAAGGCCATTTCCCAGTGAAGTCTACTTCACTTTGTACAGGTCGTCAGAAGAGAGCCGCATGTACCTGAAAGCTCTGCTCGGAACAGGGCAAAGACAAGTTGACACTGTTGGTATTGTTCATCTTTCGATTTCGAAAACCTACAACCCACTATTGTTGAGAGATTTTAGTACAATACCATTCCCGTAGACTAGCAGATATCGTGCTGCCGAAATTCTTAAGGTCACAAGGGATCAGCTGATCTGAATGCACAATTCTCAATCGTTTATCATCACTTCCATGAGAATTGGCCCAAAAAGTAAACTCCAATTTATCGCCTAAGTCGCGGTTATTCCCACCCTGTACCAGTAAGGCGTTCGACAACAACGCACAGTCGGTAGTTGGATGAATCAGATGTTTGTCCTAACTCGGCTAAACATCCAGAAATGCAAGCCGCACGTTGGCAAATGTGCCACAGGCTGCATAAAATCGGAACATCTACAGGGTTCGGAAATCCGAGTGGCTTTTTTGTTGACAAAAGTCAACCCGTCCAGCTCGCTGAGAGAATCGTAGAAAAATATAAAACCCTAAGACCGGTGTTTATGTTGTTAACATGCTTTTACCATGTATTGAAGGGACACTTATCTGTCTGTCGTTTATGCCATTCTGCAATTATATCTCCTGCACAAAGACCGCTCTGTGTTCCAACCGGCAC